CTTGGACGAAGATAATGTTCTAGAAAGTACGGAATGCAATAAGTTTTTTCTATTTTTTATTTATCACGAAAGTAACGTACTGACAAATTTTTATTACAACATATCTCTATATTCAGAACATCATATGTTAAAGATACATACATCATAATCATATTATTCATTTAGCATATCAATAGTTGCACACAAAAATTATTGAATCAATGGCCGAAATAGTGGTTGAATTGCAGGCTTTTTTTTAAAATTATATAATTATTTGCTTAAAAATGATAAGTTTTGTAACAAAATTTAATTGATTGCTCTGTGAAATCATATTTAAAACCGATAAGATAAAGAGCACCATACCTCATCCAAATCTAAAAGTGTTAACCTCCTAAAATTATGGAGAGTTGAAAAAAACCTCCAAATTAAATCATATTCATTATTTTTTTATTATTTTAATGTCTAAAAAATATATACAATATTTATCGAGTCATATACTGCGTAAAAAAAAAAGACAAGTAATTTAGTTACTCAATATTTGCGCTGGAACGACATCATAATATTATATTCCGGAAATCATATTACATTAAAATAAATAGCATATTTTATAATGGTGTATATCATCTTATTCTTCAAGTGACAATTATTGGACCAATGCATCTTTTTCAAACTCCGACGATGCGTAAATGTCATATTATATATAAGTACATAGATAAAAAAAATTTCGTGAGAAAACAAATGCGAAAAAAGGCAAAAAGTGAGTATCATACATTCACTATTGCTGCAATAAAAAATGGTACAAAAATGGCAATAAAGTTGACCCAAATAATAAAGAAATATGTTTAGAGGATATTGCCGCTCTGTAATACATATAAACATAATGGTGAAAAATATATTTAACATATTCTATCATTTAAACCTGATCAATGCATCATAACTATGCAATATATAAATCATAAAAATGAATCATAAAATAAAATATATAACAACTACACGTGCACCATTTACAACTTATATCATTTATATATGATGTATATATCATTCTTATAAACATAATGGTGAAAAATGTAGTTAACAAAGTCCATCATTTAAACCTGATCAATATATCGTAACTCTGTAATATATAAATCATAATATGAACCATAACATGAAATAAAAGTTTGCATAAAAGATTTGGTATCATCAGTCTATCATGAGTTCAACAACATGTGTCCTGAATATACATCGTACGTGTCCGAAGATCAACATAAAGGTTTTTAGGAATAATTTTCTAAAAAAAACTAATCAAGAATGCATATTACGCACAATTACTATAAAAAATTACGCAGTATTGAAAATACAATAACCAAATCTGTTCATTGTCAACCAATCCTACCTCGCACGACATGGAATCGAGAGCGGATGCGGCAAACGTGTTTGACAGCGGTTGGCGCGGCCAAAGAAGTTGTTGTCAGCGGTCTTCAACTGCGGATGTGTAAATAAAAGGGAAATCGAGGGCGAAAACGACTTCCGGTGGCGCGGCCAGAGATGTCGTGGCGGCTGTTGTCAACTGCGGAGGTGTTATATAAGGGGAATCGAGGGCGAAGGCGGCTAGCATGTTTGAGGGCAGCGGTCACGACTAGAGATGTCGTTGTCAGTGGTCGCAGAATGCATGATCTACGGAGGCAGGGCGATGGGAGGAGGATGGAGTCTCTGTGTGATAAAATTAGGATTGGTAAATAAATTTGGGGTGAAGAAGGTGAAAGAATTATATAATTAATTGTTATTTTATTTATAACAATAATTCGCAAATTAAAAATATACATCATAATGTATCTATGAACATATCATTCTAGTAAATTATATATGGGGTGTATTTCGTGATAAAATATCATAATAACGTTGTAAAGTCATCATCTGTACGATTTAAGAATGTGTACGATTTAAGAAAGTAATTATTTTAAAACCTTTCTATTTTTAATTAGGATCATTTCTACTATTATTAATTAGGTGTGACTTTCAGAATATATATGAAGTAGTTGAGATAATTGATTTTTTTTAATCAAAGATTATTGAATTATTTTTGAAAAAATTTAAAACAACCCCAATTAAAATCAACCGTTTGATTGACAATTAAATTGATCGAATGATCGAAATAAATTTAGGATCCTCCAGAATTATATATAAGATCATGAGGTTACTAGAATTTTGGTATCCTCCTGATGTTGATTAAAATTCAGGAGCATCCTGAATGTTTTTAATCCGTTGGATCAATTCTACTGACAATCCAACGATTGAGTTTGATCGAGGGTATTTTGTAATTCCAAAAATTAATTAAGATATCTAATTAAAAAAATCAATTAGAAAAAATTATTGTAACTACCTCCGATAATTTTGGGATTAAGTTTTTCTTAAACAAAACAAAAACGTTTGCAAATAATAAAATCGTATAAATTCAAATTATAAAGATGTATACAATATCACAAAATGATGTCTCTATAATACTATTACGATGTTTTCCATGGATTACTTTTCTTATATAATTTAATTAAACGATGTCTAAATAAATGCATTATAATATATTCTATCAACTCGCGGATTGTGATATGATAATTATTTAAATAAATTAAAAATCAAATATATATATATATATATTAACCCTTTTAACTCTTCACGCCCATCTTATTTACCAAGCCCTAAAATCACCGCAGATACTCCCTCTCCCGTCGCGCTCCCTCTGTCTACAACACATTCCGCCGCTGCCACCGCTGACCTATTCAGCCACGCCCGCTGCCGCCGCCGACCTCTCCAGCCATGCATGCCACCATCAAATAACCGCCGCTGCCATCGATTCCTTCTCTATCTACACATCCGCACTTGACGGAAGTTGGCGACGACGTGCAATTCCTCTTCTATTTAGAAGTTCACATTTGACGATTCTTCCAACAACGGATTCAACTAAGCGAGATCTCGAGGCTTCTATTAAACCCAAAATGAAGATAACGAAGCACATTCAAGTACCATCTGTGCCAAGAAAGATAACAGATTTCAACAACGAGAAGCTCTTTCGGCCAAGCGGACATATTTGGTGGTTGTGTTTTCAATACTGCGTAATGTTTTTATGGTGATAATGCGTATATGTGTATTCTTTATTAGTCTATTTTAGAAAAAAAACATATCGACACAGTTATTCCTAAAAATCTTTTTGTTGGCCTCCGGATGTGTACAATGTATATTCATGACACATATGTTGTTTAACTCATGATAGACTGATGATACTAAACCTTATTGTGCACACTTTTATTTCATGTTATAGTTCATATTTATAATTTACATATTGCATAGTTATGATATATTGATCAGATTTAAATGATGGACTATGTTAGATATATTTTTCACCATTATATTTATAAATATCATATATAACTTCAGTAGACATGATATATATCATATATAATAAGTTGCATATAGGGATGTTGCACGTACAGTTATTATATATTTTATTTTGTGATTTCTATTTATGATTTATATATTGCATAGTTATGATGCATTGGTCAGATTTAAATGATGGATTATGATATATATATATATATTTTTTCACTATTATATTTATATATATAACTAAGTGGCAACATTATCTGAATATGTTCGTTTATTATTGGGGTAAACTGTACTATTATTTTTGCACCATTTTTTATTGAGGCAAAAATGAATGTATTGTATATTTGATGATTACTTTTTGCCTTTTTTCATTTGTTTTTGCACGAAAAATCTTTATCTATGTGCAACAATATGATTTGTATGCTTCATTGGAGTTTGAAAAACATGCATTTGTCAAATAGTCGTCGTCACCTGAAGAGTCAAATGATATTTATTGTTATAAAATATGTTGTTTATTTTAATGTAATATTGTTTACGGAATTTAGTATTATAATGTCTGCGCAAAATCGAGTAACTAAATTACTTGCTTTCCCCTTTTTTTACGTAGTATATGATTGGATAATATTTTATATGTTTTTTAGGCATTTAAAAAATGAAAAAAATCAACTCTAGGAGGTTGATCCTAAATTTAAAGGCAAATTATTTTAATTCAACACTTTAAAATTTGGATAAAGTATACTCTTTATCTTATAAGTTTCAAATATAATTTCATAGAACAATCGATTAAATTATATTAGAAAATTAAAATTTTTAAGTGAATACTTACATAAATTCTACAAAAATATAATAAAATTTAAAATCGTCTCAAGAAAATAATGTAAATCATTTTGTTTTTAATTTCATGCTACATATCATTAGCACAAATATTGGATTCGACAATTAGGATAAATTTAATGTATCTAATTGAACTAATGGAAGCATGCAAGTCTTATATTGTTTCGGTCATTGATTAAATAATTCTTGTGTGTAACTATTTATACATTGATTGACTAATACGACTATGATGCTTATATATTTAGAATATGATGTTTAGAAGATAGCCATATGATGAAATAAAAATTCGTCAATAAGTTACTCCCGCGATAGATAAAAAAACTTACCCAATTATGTAATTTCTAAAACGTATCTCGACCACAACACACACCATTTTGCTTCATCTTGTTCTACGCTCCGACTTCTTCACAATTTATTTTCTTTGATGGATGTCGGTGAAAGAAGATGTAGTTATCTTTTTCATTTTTTTTTGTGTGAATCGACTAAAATTATGAATACGATCTGCATTTATTTGTATTTATATTCCTTAATTAACGCTAAAACAAAGTATTAACTTATTAATTATTAAAATTAAATTACATATCTACCCTTAATTGCAATCTCATCTTATTAAGATTTTGATCAAACGGCTGATATTTTTTCAGGATGGTCCTGAATACCGTACCCCCGGATTGAGGATACTATTATTATATATATCTATATATATATGTCTGTGTCTGCCTCTCAACTCAACTAATGCTTTTGGAGTTGTCTTGTACATCTTCTCTCCCACTTCTCCTCTTAGCTGCACTGCAGCTGCTTTAATTTGGTTTGATCAATTCCCATCCATGGCCGACCAATACTCGTCGTCCATCTTACTCCTCCTGCTCATCACGATCATCATCTTCATGAACGTCGACGCAAAATGCTCCTTCCAAGGCATCTTCAATTTCGGAGACTCGAATTCCGACACCGGAGGCTTCTTCGCGGCGTTTCCTCCCCCGCTGCCCCTCCCATTCGGCATCACCTACTTCCACAAACCCACCGGCCGCCTCTCCGACGGCAGGCTGCAGATCGATTTTCTGGCGCAGGCTCTCCAACTCCCGTTTCTGAGCCCTTATCTGGACTCCATCGGGTCTGACTACAGCCACGGCGTCAACTTTGCGACGTCGGCGTCGCCGGTGCTCCGACCCAACGGATCCGACCCGATTAGGGGTGTGACGGGTGTAAGCCCTTTCTATTTGGATGTTCAGGTGAAGCAGATGGAAGAGTTTAAGAGAAGAGTTACAGAGCGTTATGGTAACTACGCCTCATCTAACCATGGTTACTCCAGTTCATGAACAACTCTTAATGACCTAAAAGAATACAAATTGGGAAAAACTAATTATATTAGTTGCTCTTAAATATATACACCTCTTAATGCATTTTGTATATTTTTTTTAATTTTTTATAATAAGAAAAAGTAAAAAATGGTAAAAAAAAAAAAAATCATATATATATATATAATTTTATGTCAACAGATAAGAAGTAGACACATTTTCTATAAATGGAATATATGTACATATATATATATAATGTAATATATATTTTATTTCATTTTTTTTTAATAAAAACAATAAAATAAAATTTATATATAATAGCACTCTCCTCCTCATGAAAATATGTGCTCAAATGATTGGATACATATTTTAATAAAATGAGTTATTATTATTATTATTATTTTGTGTTTTATAGTAAAAAGATAATATATATATATATCTAAATGTATTTTTTATTAAAAAATAAAAATATATTTGAATGACGGAAAATTATATCTTTTTTATTTACTTTATATATAAAAAAAATTCTATAAATTTGGATTCTCTATTTTTTCTTTTTCTTTTTTTTTTTTGTAAATTAGCTTAATTAATTATATATAGATATATATATTTTATTTATTTATATTATATAAAAATTTATTATTGTGATCTATATTATATATGATCGATTAAAATATAAATTTTTAAATAATTAAATTAACTTATATTAATTATATATAAATTATATTTATTTATTTGTATTATGTAAAAAAAATTATTAATATAATTATGTCATTTATATTAAATATAATTGATTAAAATATAAGTTTTTTTAAATTAAAAAAAAAATATATTTTTAATAGAATATATATAATCTTATAATCCAATATATAACTAAACAATATTTTATTATTAAAAACAAAATCATTTTCAACCACAACTCCAATTAAATTCTTGCATAATTCAACTCTCAGAAAAAACGGTATAGGCTAAAAAAGGTAAAAACTAGGCTTAAGATTTTTACACCCTTTTATAGTTGTAATTGTATATATTTTCAAACTCAGTATTTTAAATTTGATTAAATAAAAAAATATATTTAATATGCTATTAATAGGGTATAAAAGTTTTAAATAAAAAATAAAATTTTAATTTAACATATCACCTAAAAATTGATGTTAGATATATATATATATAATACTATTATTTAATTATTATTTTTTATCTATTTCAAAAATAAAATATAAAATATGTAAGGGAGAGCATAACAATTACAATCAAAATGGTAAATTATCCTCGCCGGGCTAGTTTGCCATAATATAAATGTTATTGATTTCAACACCATTACCAATGTTTATACTATTATTACCTAGGCATGATTTTTCATCTTTCTTGATATTGTTAGGAAAAACAAACACTAATCTTCCATGGCCGAAGAGCTCAAATATATACAATATAAATATTATCGAGGCTTATACTAATCTATGAGCTTTCATTCTACAATTTACATTGTTAGAAAAAACACTCAACAATACTACTGATCTTCCCGGACCCGACATATTTGGAAAAGCCCTCTACACCATCTACATTGGCCACAACGACATGGTCCACCGTTTTGCCGAAGTAGGCTTGGGCGGAATCCGTCCATACGAGCTTCGAATATCTTCCGGGATAACCAAAGCCATCAAGGTCATCCTTCTCTCTCTATATCTCTCTCTCTATATATATCTATATTAACAAATGTTCTAGAAAAATTTTTCACTGGTGTTACAATATATAAATAATCGGTCAGAGATTTATCCGGTGCGCACTTTCGGGTAGCGGCTGTAAGCTTCCACATTATGAAAAAAATAAAAAATAATACTCCGTATGTCCCAATACAATAGTCTTGTTTACCATTTTTGTCCGTCCTAAAACAATAGTATTATTTCCATAAATAACTATATCATCATAAAACACTGTACCTTTTTTTTTAGCATAGAATAATAATTAAATCATGAATAAAATTATATATTGGTGGTATGTGTCACCACTCAAGTAGACGTGAGTCTGCCTTATATATATATATATGTATATTTCTTTATTCTCGATACGCATAATATATTGAATTAATTATCTTAATTCAAAATTTTACAGAAGCTCTACCGATTGGGAGGGCGCACATTTTTCGTGCAAAATTTGAATCCAATGGGATGTTACGCCGCCGTGTTGGTACTTGTCCCCCACGACCCATCTGATGTGGACGCAACGGGATGTCTAGCTACACTTAATCAAGCCATCGAAGACTTCAACTCTCTCCTCAAGGATGCGCTTTCAAAGACAAGGCGAGAGCTCCAAGACGCAAATATCATATATGTCGACACACATTCCATCATTTCCCAACTCTTTCGCCGCCCGAAATCCTACGGTTTGCTCTTACTTTTTCTTCTTCTTCAATAAATGTCATTTAGATTATTCAAAATCGACAAATTAACATAACCTCACTTGTTAAAAGAAATACTTGACTATTGTGTTTCTTTTTCTTTCTTTTCTTTTTTTTTTTTTAAATTCCACAGCAAGACTGGTGGCATGTGCCACCAATTATTTTATTCAAACAAAAATAAATCTTTATAATGTAAAAATTATACTAATGTTAAAAGATCACATTATCCAATTAATGAAATAAATTAGTGCTCCATCTAAACACCAATACTTAAAAGTATAAAGAACAGTGGATAAATTTTTCGCATGTTTCTTAATAAAATGGGGCATTTTAATTTATTTTATTTTTAAGTTTATATATTGTGACACTAGTGAAAAGAATTTCTAAACCGGCCTCTGTTGTTAGGGTTCCGCTATGGCATCAAGGCATGTTGTGGATATGGCGGGGGACCCTACAACTTCGATGCTCGTATTTTTTGCGCTGAAAGCGCGGTGATCGACGGGAGAAATGTGACGGCGGGTGCATGCTGCGACCCTTGCGATTACGTGAGCTGGAGCGGGATTCATTTCACTGAAGCTGCAAATAAGGTTATTGTTGAGGCCATCCTTAGTGAAACTCTCTTCGACCCACATTTTCCATTGAAGAAATATTGCGATGTTCAACCCATTGGTTGAAGAGGTGATGTATAATATATGCTTAATTTGCAGAAATTATGAGCAATGAATGTCTGTGTTTGTGTGTCTGCTGCTCAGTTAGAACAAAGCAATGCAATAAAGTATACAATCTATTCGGTTTTATGCGAGCATAAGCAACACGGGCGTGTCATTTTCTAACAATGCGTGTTGGATATTATAATATGCTACCATAGGATCTGTGATATTATTATATGTGTTTACACTATTTAAAAGAAAAAACTGCAAATTTACAAGAGAAATTTTTTCTAGCAAAACTGATAAATTTCCTCCTAAAATCAATTTGCGACGGAATTTAGGTTCATCACAACTTGATTCTTTGGCGATATAAAGAGTTTTTGAAGATTTAATTAACAATATATTTGTGATAAAATATATAAAAAAAATAATATAAATATATATAGTGAAAATAAGTGTTATGCGTGTGCATATAGTAATTTCGAAAACTTTATCAAATTAAAAAGAATCTTTTTTTTTTATTGATGAGTGTTTAGGTAGAATATAAAGAATAATGCAATTATGCTATGTTTTAAATAAAAAAAAAAATACGATAAGTCAATGCAATCAAATGACTGAAAAAAATTAGCTAACTACTAAACTAATGCTAAAAAAGGATTCAAATCTATCTTAAAAGAATTTAAATCTATCTAAAAACCGATTATATGTATAAAGTGATAGACATTTAATGAAACAACGGGTATAAGTGTTGGCGGCTATGGGTGAATATAGTTTTGATGCAAAGGGTGTCAAAAATGGCGAGCGTACGAACTCCTTATGACTGAATTGAGGTAGAAGCGGTGCAACATGAGCAATATGAAGATGGGTGTTTCCAAGACTTATATTTACAAGGATGTGATGGCTGAAGAAGCGAATGTGGTCACACTAGAGACACTACAAAAAAAAATATCAATTTTGTAACGAGGTTTTTTCGTTCTTAAATCCACTTTTTTCGTTACTAATGATATTAGAGACGGAATTAGTGATGGAATTATGTTAGCTACGTGAACTTTAGGAACGGAATTCCGTTACAAATATACTATTTTTTTGTAGTGAGATTTAAGCTAGGACTCGGCGGGTTTGTCGGTACTTGACCTTAAAGATTAAAGTGGATCCTCAATTTTATAACAAGAACATTATGAGCTAGCGAAGCCATTGTCACCAAATATCAATTTAACCTGGTAAACAAGTCTATATCTAATGAATTATTACTTAGCTGCTTTACTCGCTGCCTATCAATGCATTGCCTCTCTTTCGTCTAAACTGAATTCTACTTATGAGATTGATGAGGTTGCCGAGGCTACCATTACTCCCTCACTACGGGCCATCTTGACACCGCTTATGGTGCGTAAAAAGACATAACTTAATGGCTTGTATGTGCTCTTTTCACAATGTAGCTAATGAGCTAACTCAAATGCTTGTGTTTGTTTGAGGTTTTAGTTTTTGGATTGAGATTTGAATAGTAAAAATTTATAGTAAAAATTTTGAATGTGAATAGTTGTACGATATGATATAAACAGGTGTTGATGTAATGTTTTGAATATAAAATTAATTTTAAATATAATATAAAAAATAAAAAATAGGTGTTTGATTTGATGTTTTTTGGAAAAACAAATTGAATGAATAGTAAAATTGTGGAAAATCCCCAGACAAATGTAAACATGCCATTATTGGATTGTAATGAGCTGGAAAAGTACGATATTGCGCTGATTATTAGTAAAATTAAGAAAATTCTATTCTAAATACTCATGGTGTGTTTGTTTGAAGAATTTTGGGGGCTTGTATATATATATAATATGGCGACAATTACCTATTGATTAAGGTTAATTAGCACCGGATTGATGAACCCTAATCCATCATATTAAGTTTTAATCGAATGATGGTGATTTAAGACGAGGACAAAATTATAATATGAGTTAGCTTTTGTAAATCCTCTATAGGGTGCATTTGTCTTCATCCAATTCTACGTGATATTTTTTTGCAAAATTTCTTTATTTTTCATTTTCTTTTCCTTTTTATTGCAATTCAAATTTTTTTTTTTTAAAAAAAAAAATTATTGTAAATCAATGAGAAAAAATTGATAAAAAAGTAATTTGAAATTTCACCTTAGAAGAATTATGTTAATTCAGAAGTTTCAAAGTCCATATACGTACTATTGGAGACTATATTCTTATTCTTTTTGTTTGCAATCATGGTTGTTTCAGCTATATATCTTGTACTTTCTCCCACCAATCATGTGCTCTTAGATATATATTTTATGCTCTATTATATCAAACTATGTGCTCTTGGTTATATATTTTGTGTTCTCTCCCAGAAAATGATATTTTTTCCAATAATTTTTCCAATATTTTTTCTCTCTCTTTTATCTCACAACGCTTAACAGCAATTGAATTGCAAGAGATTAATTTCTTATTTTGCCCGAAATTGAATTTTATTTTTGTGTAGAAACAATGAATTAAATCAGTGTGAATAATTCTCTCATCTGGTGCATTTCATGTCATCTAATTTCAACGTGATCTTTTTTTAAAAAAAAAAAAAAATCCTTATTTTACACAGTTTTTATTTTTTATTTTTTATTTATTTTTTATTGGGATCTAATTACCAAATATTATTGTAAATCAAAGGAGAAAATTCCGATTTAAACTTCAGTTTCTTAAGAAAAATCTGTTACCTCGGAAGGCTCAAAATTTAATTATTTTTACTTTTATTTCTAGTATATTCCAATATAATATTAATATTTTTAAAAACAAATAGATAGATAGATATGGGACGGAGGGAGAGAGCATATCTTTTTTTTTTTTTTTTCCTACAGAACCATGTAATTTCTCTTGTCAAGCCATGTGTTCTCCACATATATTTCTTGTATTTTTTTTTTTTTTACCGAACCATATTCTTTCGAATATATATTTTGTGCTCTCTTTCACCTCGTTGCTTTCAACTGTCACTGAATTGCAAGAACTTAATTTATGTTTTGCAAAACAATGAATTAAATATATATTTTTTTCTATTTTGCAGAAATAATGAATTAAATCAACCTTTATTAATTCCCCCACCTGGTGCATCTCATTCCATTTCATTCCCACGTGATCTTTTATATGAAATCTTTGTCTTTTATATGTTTCATTTCTCTTTTATGGTATCCTCAGTGATTATCTTTTGTACTCTTTTCTATCGACTCATGTGTTTTCTAGATATACATGTTTTGCAAAAATTATGAATTAAATATGCTTCTTTTTTTTTTTTTTTTTTTTTTCTATTTAGCTGAAACAATAAAGTAAATAAGCATGATGAAGGTTGTACTGAAAAGCATAATTCTGATGATTTAAACTCTAAAAATTATAAAGAATTTTAGAGTTGCAGTTATACACCTGTGTAGCTTTGTACTTGAAAAACATCCAGAACAAATAATGAATGTATCAAAATACAGTAATAAAAAACATCACATTGCTCTCGCCGGATAACTAATTACTTCCACTAAAAGATATATAGTAAAATTATAAGATATACATATTATTGACCATACCACATCAATAATCATATTTGATAGTCGATGTTTGATCACGGTGCTGACATCTAAGGTGTAAGCACCGTAACCCAAAACGCTGATTAAATATATATTATCATCATTTCTTAATATACTATAAAACATACATTGTCGATTATATATTGTTTTGATTTAGAGAAATTTTACACTACAACAAAATAATGCCCACACTTGGTATAAGCTTTTGTTGAGATATTGATTGAGGGTCAATCAGCAAATGAAGATATCACAGAAATATATAAAAATAGAACATGCAACACATGAGTATATATTTTATTTATATTTGTTGGGAAAGAGGTTTATCGAACAAAACACATTCGAACATTTTAAAGGGCCAACTCCCTATGCGTGGGCGGTTCACACTTACAACAACGTTTTAACAACGAAAGACAATGCAGAACATAAAACAATAATGAGACAAGGTGTTTGTTGACCCGGTTCGATTATCAATCAATCTACATCCGGGGGATACCAATCCAGGAGATATTCCACTAATCAGTGTTGATTAAGGACAAAAATAACCACAACTCCTTCAACCCAAAAAGCTATCATGGTTAACCTAGGAAAATACCTCCACAGGTTCACATTGTCACAAACGCGTACTGACAACGACCATAAAGCAGAGCAGCTCAGAGTTTGATCATCCTCTCCGGTTGGAACTTCATTATCTCCGATCTCCGTCGACCTCTCCGGTAGGTTTCAGTGTTAAACAACAGTTCAAAACATGTAGAAAATGGGGAGAAGGGTGAGAGCACACACAATAATTTCTCTCTCTAAATTTTGACTCTCAAACCTCACTCACCACCAAACTTTCTCTCATTTGGTTGTATACATCGTGCAACCTTGGAAAGAACACACCTCCCATTAATTTCCCTTAGCATAGAAATGGATAGAGTGTTCTCTAATGATTCTGCACGAGTCTGACCATCCCCAAACTGTTATGTTTGACTCTTGTGGGCATTTAAGAGATTGGACACATTGAATAATGTCAAGCCCACAAATTCAGACTGAAAGGGTTGTAGAGACAGTCTTCCTGCAACCTACGAATGCTAAAAAAGGTAAGGTGGCTGTAGCGTGAAGAAAGTCTGATGGACCATATGCCAAAATAAACTTAGGGAGTTTTTATTCACATTCTCCCCCTTTTTGGCATATGGAACCACGGAATCAAAGTGCAGGAATTAGGCCACTCACACACCCAATCATCCAAGTGTACGTCCAAATATTACATCCCAACAGAAATATAAAAAAGGCTACAGGCAGCCTTCATAATAATATGTTTATAATCACTTCGGACTTTCAACAGAAATAACAACAGATAAAATCAACAATCAACAGAGCAGACAACATCTCCCCCTGAAAATATGATCTCCCCTTTTCCTGCATTACTCCCCCTTCGTGGGAGCAGATGACAAAAAGAACAAGTACCTTTAATTTGCTGAGA